TGCTATAGTATTCGTGATTTCAAATATTGGACTATTGGCTTGGTACGTTTCCAAACGTTTCGCCGGCATCGTCAGTGAGAGGTGTCATCGTAAGCACAGAGTTACAACTTATCAAAGGAACAAGTGAAGGTAAGTGTCCCCTTGACTAATTTTCTGTTCAACCATTGTGGCATCGCTCCTCGTCGCTATTTTTTGTTCTGCCTTCAAGTACAGCATCTTTTCTCTCAAACCCACTTATATGGCCCGTCCACTTATTCACACAATTATGCGCTTTTGTTCCCTCAAATTTCGTCTAAGAGGGTGTCACTACCAGTAGGTTTAGTGAAACGTTGTCATCTCCACCACTTGTACCAGATGCCATTTGCAGGCCTCCTAACCTACATTCTGTCCCCACTTTTGTTTTCTACCCGCTTGTCAACTAGCCACTGCTAAACATCAAAATCATTGAGACCATACCAGAGGCCACAACATCTTGGTTTTCATATCTTCAATCAAAATCACTGTTTGTCTGTGTGAAATCTGGCTGCCTAAGAATTTTTCATTCCCGTCATCTATTACACTATATTCAAGGCTTTAGAGCAGATTATGCACATGTCCATTCCCATGCAAATGCCAGTGTCTGGGAATCTTCCGCTCTATAGGCTTCAAACCCATTTTTCGATTATCTTCTTCATCCTCACCCCCATTTTGTCTCATTCTTTGGGGCCATGTGTCCGGCTTGAGCCATAACTGCTGGTGTGAGAATGCACCACTTCCCTTTTATCCTTTAAATCGCGCAAAGCACATTCATCCCGTCTCTCTAGTTGACATTCCCATCTAATTCTAGGGTGCTGTGATAATCTTCATGTATGTGTGTGTGTGTGTGTGTTGGTTGGTTGTTATCCCCGTGGTCAAGACTGTCACAAGTCCCCTCCCCTTCAGACACATATACGAAAAATAAACACAATACCTACATACAGACGTTGGTTATCTCTATCTCGTCCATCAATATATGTAGCCTTTAATTTCATATCCTACATCTCACAGGATGCCCTTATAGGTAAATATTTTGGCCAATTCTACGTCTGACTTCTCTTACTGCAGTTGCTTTTACTTGACTTCCCTTTGTCCCTCATAATCCGCGCCTTAGTTATGTCTCTTCCCTGTTCCAATCTCCTGTTCATCAGGTTGTTTTGGAAGAGGATGTCCAGTCTCCCTGATC